GTACAGAAATGTTTTTTATTTTTCTCCAGCCGGGTCGACTGGATGTTATAAAAGGGGGGGGGGTAGTGTAGTGACATATACTGTCACTATACTGTAGCGGCAGGAACCTCCCTAGGAGGCTGAGGGACACGTGACCGGGGGCCGGAAGCCCCTGCCTTGATACAGCAGGGGGCGTGGCCGAGGGCGTGGTGAAGCCAGGGCCAGGGATATAAAGGGGGAGTCCCGACGGGGATCGGGGCTCGTTTCGTGGGGATCGTCCTGGAACTCTTCGCTCTTCGTTCGTCATTTGGACCTTAGCCGGGAATCGTGGGTCAGACAGTGTGTGTGCTGGCTGGCCCGTTCGCTAGGGTTAACTAGCGACAGTATAGCTACACCTATCTAGAGAATCAAAGTGTTATCGTAGATTGTGTAATAAACGTGTTGCCTCCCAGTTAGTGTGTGCACCTCAGTGTATCACACACTACACGTACATTCAGATTTAATGAATGAGCCTCGAGCATGAGCAGAGATTCATCATCAAGTATATCATTTCTTATAGGTTTTGAAAACCATTGTTTAAATATTCATAATGAAATACAAGAATATGAATAGAAATACAAGGGTTTGTTTTACTAAAAATACAATTTTGGTCCATCACCATGTGGGCCTTTTAATCTATTTAAGAATGCATATGCTTCATTATTTCCACCCTTCTTCCTTTCATCAGCAGAGAGTTGCTAATGAAATGCTTTTGGATTTGATTGTTATAGGTCCTCCGTGAACACATCCATTTGTTTACCGGCCACGTTTTGCTGATAAGTTTCACAAAGTCAACACCAGTCCAGAGTTTGCCTGCTACAATAAATATTGCTGGAAAATGCCGGTCCAGAACACCCTTAGTCTGGTATTTTATGTTCATGCAGTAAAAAAGCATCTACATTGTTTATGTTATATAAAATATTAATCTCGGTGAATAACTTTCATCGTGTTGTGTTATAAGCATTCCATCCTTTATAAGCATTAGGATAATGCCTGACCTGAATTGATATGATATATACACTGTTCAATCAAGCCAAATCTGGCTCTGATTAAAAGCTACCCTTATTATTTTTTAGGAAAATATTCAGAAACATTTTTCAGGAGATATGCGGCTTCAGTATACCACTGGATGAAGGCCTCTCCTGTTGTATTACAATATTTATCTGCATGAGTTTACATGGCAGTGTATATGTTCCTTCCGAGGTGTCTGGCCAGCATTCAAGAGTAGGCCAAGTACCTTCTAGAAGGGCCCTCTAGAGCTCCCTCTAGTGGAGGCGCTTCCACCAGCAATGGTGAGAGCAAGGACTTGTCGGGCTTTACCTACACCCTCTAAAAATTACATTCCTATCTATGAAAGATCTGTTTTTGGACATTTGCATCTCAGAATAAAAAATGCATTGTGCACTCAGATCTTGCGCTAATTAATTTCATCCTTGCTCTGGATATTGCAGGTGAAAGGTTAATGACTTGTGCAGAGGAAAACGGGGAACATTAGGGTGCTGCATTGCGTAACGCTGCTCAGCGGGTGTGCGCGTTAATTATTTTTTCGTTCAGGTGTTAAAACTACTTTTCACGTGTGACAAGCTCAGACTCTGGTAGAAAACCTGAACAATTTGAAAGCCACCTTAGCGCGTCGGAACACTTCAAACACAAGCACGGTCTGATGGTCGTTGTGATCGTCCGACTTTCCGACAGGCAACAGTGGCATTTTGTGGCCGAGTGAGCTGGCGAATTGCGTCTGGACAGCGTTGCACGTACACCTGGGACAGAGACCAAACGTCGATGTGTTTGCGGATTGAGCTGAGCCTCCGCCGCGGTGTTGGGGTTGTCCCAGACAGTGATGAGGTCACGGAGGAAGGGGGGCGGCGGCAAGTGAGGGGGGGGGAGATGACCATTCCCTCGGCGAGTCCGGCTCTCGCAGTGATGCCTCCCCTGGGAAGAGCTTTGAGAGCGGCAGGGATTGTATGTGTTGTCGAGCCGCGGCTTCTGCTGCAATTAAGATGTGCAACCGCTGCTATTACTGCCGTTGATATTACTGTCACTGCTGTTTCTGCAACAATTGCTGTTACTGCTGTTGCTTCTGCTGCTTGCTCAGAATCAGAATATTTATTTATGCTGGAGGAATCCGATGAGCTATAAAACTCTTTTTCCCTTCTGCAGCATGGCGATAGAATTAGTCCAAATTCAAGCCGGACCGATGCGCCATTGGCCGCTTGAGAGAAAAGTGATTCCGATATGACTAAGGGGAAAAAAAACAGCGATATATAATGTGTCATGTCGCCTCCGTGATATGTTCCTTGAAAGGCAAATTAAATTAATTTCATGCTGTTAAACTGATGCTATGTAGAAGCATAACATCAGTGATTTTCAGATTGAGGTGACTTGACATACAATGGTTCCCGCTTGCTCATGATCTCACACCATCTCTAACGTCCACTCCATTCCAGATGGCACGCCTAAGGAATACCACTTTGCGGGGGAAGTCAAAAGTGGTTGCCGTATGGCTATATTCGCCATTTAAATGTGGAATTTCCACCACTGGCTCATGGCTGTAAATTGGAGATGAGCACGGAGTCCGATACTCGTTCGAGCCCCCGCTACAATACCAGGGCAGCTGTAGGAATTGTTAAAATTACATTCCGTTAATGAAATGAATGGTAATTTAAAACTTGTCTTTGTTCATCTTGCTATGTTTACACATAGTTGCCCCTTTTAAATAAAACAACAACAATGTCTAAACATAAAGATGCTGTATATTCTTGGTTCTTTCGGTAAAGTCACGTAGAAGGGAAACAATAAAATAATAAAAATATAAAACAATAAAATTCTCACGACGTTTCGACTGCAACACAAGCAATCATCAGGTGTGAAAAACCACAGCAATAAAATTTGAAAAAAGTGGCGTTTTTTTAAACGTTAGCACCACGGAGAGCGATTTGACAGTTTGTAACTACTACCACATTGGAGAAACTAAACGACATGTCTCGGACCGCATTCGTGAACACAAAGCAGACCTGAAACACGGTAGGACCAACACCTCGGCCGTGTCAGATCACTGTTATAATTCAGTAGGCTCACATGACATTGACTTCTCCAAGACAGAGGTTCTTTGCAAGCCATCTGGCTACCATGAGAGATTCGTTCATGAGGCTATCCACATATACAAACACAGACAATTTCAACCGAGAAGATGGATTCTGGCTTTGCAATCATTGGAAGGATTTGATAAACCATTTTGGGTCTTAATTGATTGAGCACGCTTAAGGTGGCTTTCAGACCGCATCCATTATTTTCGTCTCCCCCCTCCTCTTTTCCGAACATAGATGGACTCGTTCATCTGAACAAATTGTCAAATCGCTCTCCGTGGTGCTAACGTTAAAAAACCGTCACTTTTTTCAAATTTTCTTGCTGTGGTTTACACACCTGATGATGATTGCTTGTGTTGCAGTCGAAACGTGAGAATTTGATTGTTTTATATTTGTATTATTTTATTGTTTCCCTTCTACGTGACTTTACCGAAAGAACCAAGAATATGAATCCCTGCAGTCACGAAAGCTTTAAATAAAAAAATAAAGATGCTGCTCATTCCCGGAACTCGATAGGCGCGCCATCACTGGAAGCTGCCTGCTGCTCTCGGGAGGAGCCTCAGTCCGCTCGCTCGCCCCTCTCTATTCGCGTTTGCTTCATGCTCGAGTTCACCCGGCCCTGCTTCATTGACAGCAGCCTACCCGGTGAATACTGTGGCTGTATTATCCACGAATACTCACGTTGGACATTAAGGATCCTTATATTCTTGGTTCTTTCGGTGAAGTCACGTAGAAGGGAAACAATAAAATAATAAAACAATAAAATCACGACGTTTCGACTGCAACACAAGCAATCATCATCCGGTGTAAAAACCACAGCAAGAAAATTTGAAAAAAGTGGCTTTTTTTAACGTTAGCACCACGGAGAGCGATTTGGCAGTTATTCAGATGGACGAGTCCATCTATGTTCGGAAAAGAGGAGGGGGGAGACGAAAATAATGGATGCGGTCTGAAAGCCACCGTAAACGTGAACAATCAATTAAGACCCGGAATGGTTTATCAAATCCTTCCAATGATTGCTAAGCCAGAATCCATCTTCTCGGTTGAAATTGTCTCTGTGTTTGTATATGTGGATAGCCTCATTAACGAATCTCTCATGGTAGCCAGATGGCTTACAAAGAACCTCTGTCTTGGAGAAGTCAATGTCATGTGAGCCTACTGAATTATAACAGTGATCTGCCACGGCTGAGGTGTTCGTCCTACCGTGTTTTAGGTCTGCTTTGTGTTTACGAATGCAGTCCGAGACATGTCGTTTGGTTTCTCCAATGTAACTACTACCACAGAGACAACTTAGTTTGTAGACGCCAGGGTACTGTATGTCCGGAATCACATCTTTTACAGACGGAACCAGATCACGGATTTTATGTGGTGCTAACATTAAAAAAAGCCACTTTTTTTCAAAATTTCTTGCTGTGGTTTTCACACCTTATGATGGTTGCTTGTGTTGCAGTCGAAACGTCGTGATAATTTTATTGTTTTATATTTTTATTATTTTATTGTTTCCCTTCTACGTGACTTTATCGAAAGAACCAAGAATATGAATCCCTGCAGTCACGAAAGCTTTAAATCAAAATTAAGGATCCTGCCAACGTTCTTCGAGCATGTCGGCATCGTCGTCCGAATTTGCTCAATTTAGTAAATATCTTTCACCAACTACTTGCAGTCATTGGGAAATACCACAACGCGATATTGACCCCCTACTTACACACTCATGCCCATTCGCAGGCTGTGCTACGTACACCTTGTGCCGCACAGGGGCAGCTGCCACTGGTGGTATAATACAGGTGAAATGGTTTAGACGAGATGGTGTAAGGCGAGTTTGGTTGCTGAGGTATATAAGCAAATGCCCTATACATGCAACCCCTTATATATTTATTCCTGGTTTGTTTATTTCAGAGCTGCAGGAGCTGGTGAGATTCAGCATGGCACGGGATGGGCGTGAGAGCGAAATCTCGTCGCCGGAGGACACCTCGACAAGCCCCACCAACGGGTCGCTTCCGAGCGGCAACGGCGGCGACACCGATCACCATGGGCGCGACGAAGCCGGCAAGAAGACGAGCAGTGGAGAAACGCAGGAAGCGGTGTGTGCGGGCAGCGAGACCGGTGAGCAGCACACCGAGAGATTGTTCACCTTAACGGATACAAGATAGAAAGAGAAAAAGAAAAAAAAGAAACCCATTCAGTGTAACTGGTATTGACTAAACTTCCCAATGCTGAAAAAATTACCTGCAAATTACTCTATTAGGATCGCACACAGGCACAACTTCACCCCATAATGCGAAAATCCAGCAGGTCCCTGCTTAAAAACAAGTCTTTCGACTTGATGAAGCTTCTCTGTGTATACAATTTCAATCATAATACTTGCGATTGTACAGCTAGCAGAGTCACGGTGGAAATAAACAATAAATTATCACAGAGGATACAACCTCAATGTTACTGTGTATGTATGTATGTTTAACGTCTTTCGTACTGTACATAGCCAACCGTGCATATTGGAGGGGTGTATGGTGAGGTTGCAGTATGGGGATGAAGTCGGTGTCTGGATAAGTAGATGAGTTGGGTGTGGATTTGTGGGTGTATGAATGAAAGTATTGGTATATGGATAAGTGTACATACAGGAATCCACCAGTTGATAAGAACTGCATTGTGGGGTAGATTTGTGGGCAAGTGACTATGTAGGTCTGAGTCTGCATGTTTGCAGTGTGTCGGAGTCTGAAGGTGCAGGAGTGCAGGTGTGCATACTGCTCTTGTGTGGGGAGCAGCGTGCTGTGCTACGATCCCGGCGACCCGAGTTCGATTCCTACTCACTGACAACACTAGTAACGAATATCTGAATTAGTCCTGGGCCTCCCCTAGGTTGACTCAGCCGCAAATGAGTACCTGGTGCGGTATGTAAACATTGCCACTGGGGAGACAATGATGGTTGGGCATGGGCCTGGCCATCCCCAACCCCCTGTGTACCGTTCCGGCCTTCATAGTTGCTCGCTTTACAAAACTTGCCCCAAAAGTATGTTAAGGCTATATGGGGGATATTTGTCTTTGTCCTGCTCTTGCAAGTGGTGACGCAGGCATGCCACCACAGGTGAAAGCTGAGCTCCACGTTGGCAAATGGACATGGGTCGTGTGCTGCAGGAGAGCACTGGTGAACGCAACAACGGGGACGTAGAGCACACGGAACGTGTGGGAAGACAGGACGGCAAAACAAAACAACTGCAAAGCAATGTGAAAAAATCAATTTGTATCTCTATCCATTTCCAGCTCATTTGTTGCAATACAGCTCCATGTCTGAAAAACCAATAAGACTTTGATCGATACTTTACATTTTCATTCTTCCCTCTGGTGTCTGCATAAATGTGAAAAGCGCACCATTGCATCGCGTGATTATGCTTCGTTCACGTAGCCGTCAAAATGTACGTATGTAGTTGAATTTCTTTCACACCGTACGTAGACAATCAATTGGCACGGTTGGCTACACGTTGGCGCTGCCCATCACAGTGTAAGTCTGCTAGGAAACTTGGTGCCTCCGATAATGAGCAGGCTGTCACGGACGTAGCTGTTTATTTACGAAGCCATTATCGGCCCCCTGCTCAAATGCTGCCACCATAGATTACACAATCGGTCAGCCTGCCTGGCCCCCATCAGCGTCCCACGCCTTGGCACGACGCGTGCTCCCCTGGGCCCTGTGGTAGACGGTGAACGAGCCCTATCGCTCCCCGCATGCCGCCTCCGGGAAGAGTTTGCCAAGTGATTTGAAATGCGTCTCTTGTATGAATGTTGTGTAAAATCACGTGGGCAGTTAACCTCTTGCCCTGAGCCAATGCGCATATCGTTGACACTGCGGTCACATCAACCGACAGCGCTGACCTCGAATGTCACAAGGTCCACATCGATGATTGTTGACCGTGTTAGTTTTGTTGTCCTTTTCTGTTTTGCTCTCTTAGGTCATTATCTTTGTAAAACACTGAATGTCATAATTGCTTTGGAATTACGTGTTTCCGTTTATTTTTAATTACTTTGGAAAGTGACTTGCGAGCACTAATGGAGCTCGTTGGCTTTTGAAAAACTGAGCAGTTGCTTTTCATGAGATGCGTTTGTCCAAAGGGAATTGGGGTCAGGGTTATGGCTGAGTTTATGGTTGGGGTTAGGGTTTAGTCTGTTCATGGTTGGGAGTAATGTTGAAAGCATTAGATTTGGTACAGCTTAACCGGTGAATTCTGGCTGAGATTAAACCAATTCATGATGACATTCTGATTTCAATCTGAAAGTATTCCTAGCACTCTCTGAAAAGGATAAGAACTCATCAGACAGAAAGGTGCATGCAGGCTGGAAACAAATGAAAGTAGTAAACATGCTGCCAGTGTAAATAAAAAAAAATCTCTACTACAGTAGGAAATACTGGCTCTACTGCACTGATGATTCCTAACGATGGTGAAGACTACGTACAGGTGTCTCATTGTCCTGCGGCAATCCAAGCTGTGGACTGTATAGTAAACCACTGTAATATACGCTCCTACAATGGAGAAATATCAAATATAAACGAACTCTCTCCATGGCTTGCAAGAATATTACGTAATTATCCTACTACTGCAGTCTAAAATAATATGGCCATAATTACGACCCTCGAGTTGTGGTCTAAAACAAGGCCATGTAAATTATAAACACAGCATTATCAATTGACGTGACATTCACGGCACAGCGGGGGGACTGAACCTATGATTATAATCACGCCTTCTGCTGTCAAGAAATCACCTCTTGCTTGCATTGTTATTCCTCTTCTGGCTAGGTTTGCCCTGTTTAAGCCTGAACCTCGGTGGAGATTGACAGGTGGCTGCATTGATAAATATAATAAGTAAAGGTAAAAAAACTGAAAATAAATCTTTTTCTGGGAACAAAAGCTGAGTTGTGAGTTTTTCCCATGCTCGGTGTCATTTTAATCCCTGGATTGTGTCGACCGCTGATGTAGCAGTAGCTTGTGTTGTGCCATCGTAAATCCTGCACACAATGATGGAAAGGTCAATTCTGGAGCAAGTAATTTACTTTTTGGCAGCCAGCTTTTTTGACTTACTAAACACAAGTTACATGTACACAATAAACTTAAAAAGCAACGTGTGAATATTCTTACAGAAATGTGTGTCGACTCCTGGAAAGTAAAACGAATTGAGCCAAGAAAGAAACAAAAAGCTGGGACGTTTTTAATGAATCCATGTGATATGCATATTGGGTTCACGTCAAGATGTGTGCAATGAGTATTATATTGTTTACACACACTGTGAATACACGTGGTATTGTGCAAATAATCTCATGTTCCTTCTTGTAAAATACAGTTACAAATATGACTGGAAAGTTGATTTTTTTTCTCTTTAAATATATATTTTAACAAGTGTTTTTATTGCTTACATTATCCCAGCTCCCGAAGAAAATGCCCATGGAGGGAAACCGCTGCAAGACTGTCGCATGGACAACAGTTCCAGTGAACGGTCCTAGCACCGTCGACATTCTCACAGCGAGCGAGTGACGTCAGCTCTCCTCGGAGGATGGTGTCATCAGGATCTTTGATACCTGCGGTGCAACGTGCGACGCGTTTGTCGCTGGAGCCCTGACAATCTTCTGGCCGGCACTCGCGCATCTCCCTCTCATAATATGGACGGCACCGCTTGGCCTCTGGGGACAATCGTTTTATTGAATGCGTGCGACTGCTTTCATTGCCCCCCTCGCCTGCAGCAGCTTACACTGACCCGTGATTCTCCGACGCTCATCTGGTCACCACACGGGACCCAGGGGACACCAGGGGTTCGGCGCATGGCTGGCATCGCCTGGGAAGAGGCGTCGGTGAAATGGGCCTCTCCAATGTCAATTTGGATAAATTTGGATTTTTCCATTTTTTATTACCTTTCATAATTTCTCACTGGAATAATATAGGCTGAGAAGGCAGCGGCGGAGGCTCACTGCACACTGTGCCGCTGCTTGTTGAGTTATATACGGGGCTTAATTTTTCACTGAATAATATTCGCGTCGGGAGTAGGCCTCGAGACGGACCGTAGGGTGGTCACCGCCATAGTGAGAAGTTTGTTGGATGTGATGTGATTGCTAAAATGCGGGTCGTGGAACCAAGAAAGACCCGTCTGAAATTAAACCTTGGTTGTATACAGTATTGCCATTGTAATCACGGCAGCAGTACTTTATGCTGGCATGACATATCCCTTGCTCTTGAAATGCACAGTGTTCAGCATCATGCCCTTGTGTTCTCGTCATCTTCATTTGTGGCATTTACATTTCTTGTGTTGCTTTGTAAAGGAGATGGACAGAGGACGTTATAGTCCCGTTCGAGCTGGTTGAGTGGTTGTGGCCGGGATTTAGGATGTGACACGACTTTTGTCAGGAGCCGTCGATGACAGCTGGGGACAGAGACTCGTCGTTTTTACATCCGTGACCTTTCTGTCTGACATGCGCCCATGCAGTGACCAACCACTGTGAACAACGGTCAATAATTGAATCCCATTTAAGCTTCTAACCTCGCCTTGAACTGTACACTGTGTTAAAATCAGTCACGGTGATAACATAATATGAGTTCACTGTCAATGTTAGTCAGAGTTTTGGAATGTCACCAAAGTAGGTCCACTAATGTCAGATAAGGGCACAATGGGTTCATTTTGAAAATGGACAATGCGACTTTACAGGACGTTACACAATACTGAGCATTGAAAAGTTTTTTTTTAAGTAGCTTTTTGCACAAGTTTAGCATTCTCGCACGTCCTATCTCACTTTGCATGCCCAGCAACAACACTGAAATGCACAAAAGATTTCTCACCCTGGAATTTTTCCGATGCCCTGTGCCATTTTCACTGTGTCTAATATTGATCGTCCTATCGGTCATGCCATTACAAGACAATAACTAGTACATGTGACGGTTGATGGTGGTTTTATACAGCCTTCACTGGGAATCAAACAAGTCACTAAGTTTGTAGTGCAGTGCACTAACCACTGCGCAATCGCTCAACCCATATGTAGTCTGTACAAATTCAAATGAAGACCTAACGAGACTGAACGCTAGCTTGCTGTAGGTTGGATATTTTTGGCACGGAAAAATGGCACATTTTTTATATTATATCAGAAGTGATGTATCATTGCTTCTTTCTGTTGGAAAATGGGACACTAACTACAAGAATTTGCTGCACACAGTCGTGCGTTGGGCCTGGGTAATTGAATGGTTTTAACAACACAAAGGTGTCCAGCTTTGCATGTACAAATGATCTTAGCCTTATCCAGACCACCAGCTCAAAATAATTGCATGTGTGCCCATATTGTCGTTTAATCCACCAACTCAAAGAGTTTAGAAAATGTGCCCATCCTTAGGGCAGCAGTGAGGCAAAGACAACCATTGGCTGGTTTCATTCTCATGCAGACTCATCAGCACACTAAAATCATCACATTTCATGCTAGCGGTAGGAGCAGCCACATTTTTCACACATTTTTCTCAACTCTTCTCAAAGAGTTGGGAAAACGACAAAATGGCCACATATGCAGCTATTTTGAGCTGGTCTGGGTAAGCCAGGGAGCGTTTGTACATGCAATATTGTACTCATTTGATGTATTGTTAAACCTATGTTTTTCCGGCCGCATTAATTTCTCTGGTTTGATGGGTTTTCTCATCATTTGCAGATTTGAATGATTGGGCAAAGTAGACAGGCGTCAGAACAGTGTTTAATGAGGCCCATTTGCTCGTCTGAGCTCACCTGTCCCACCCCCAGGTGTAGCTGCGCTTATTTCATCAGATGACCGACTTTAGGTGCATAGAGAGCGGCTTGCTCCAAGCTATGGGCAGAGATGATGCGAGAGCTTTCTGGTGTCATTTTAAAACCCTTGCTGTTTGATTCACATTTTTAATATGATTGTTGAACAGGCATTAGTTGATATTGTACATTTCTCACTTATTAATATATACGGTATTTGAGTCGGGGAGAATTACTCGCAGTGGAACATATTTTAAGTTAGGAAAACTGTTGTAATCACTTTGTATGAAAGCTGTCATGACCACACAAAGCCATCATAACGTTTTTAACATATTCATATATCCACAATTGTAATTTAAAAGTAGAACGATGCAGAATCAGTCAATAAAAATCTTAACCTTATGTGAAGTACATCTTGTATGAAATCGAGTACGTGTACACTGATATCTGTTGATCTCTGTGTTGTACTGTCTGTCATTGTGTCTGTGTGGGGAGCGGTGGTGTGGCGGTTCGCGTGCTGAGTTACGAACCCGGCGACCTAAGTTCGATTTCCGCTCACAGCCAACACTCGTGATGATTATATGAACCAGTCCTGTGTCTCCCCTAGATCGACTCAGCCTCAAATTAGTACCTGGTATGATGCGTAAAACATCACCACTAGGGAGACAAAGGCGGTTTGCTAGCCTTCATAGGTGCTCGTGAACAGCATTTTCCCCAACAGTCTGTTAAGCCTACACGGGGAATGTTTTTTGTGTCTATCTCCTGGAGTCCCGCGTATGTGTCTCCTCCATGAATGTACAATTAAATAGAGTGGGGATTTATACAGTTTTAAAGATGAAGGATAATTTAATTGGTGTTCATGAGATTAAGCAATGGGGTATCACCACAATTGTCCCATAACCATTAAAAAAACACTGAAAGACTGCATTGGCAATGGTGCAAAAATTACAAACACCCACACATTTGTCAGTAACAATACCCTAAAAGGAAACATAGATATACGAGGCAACATTTCAGGCAATGGAACTTATTCAGAGCAGATCTCTGCATGAAGTAAGGTCATTGCCCAACGTGTTATCTATTCGTTTTTTTCATTTCAGGGCAGTGCTATTGACGAATGTGTTGACTCTTCAGGAGGCATCTATGTCTGTGAATTGCATGTCATGGATGCTTTGAGCGTATTCAATGTCTAGTTACAGAAGTTGTAGCTGGAGTATATGAACTCGCCACTGGATGGCAGTCTACAATTGGATAAGGAACAAAGCCTCATGATTGTAATTGGACCAAGGTTCTAACTTGTGTGCTCATGAAAAAATATATACTTTAAGTCATGAACCACCTGTGATGGGTTAAGACATGTCAAATCTTCCCACTTCCAATTTCCTTTCTCATTCGGTAAAGAAAAAAAAATCGATGCTGTACAATGACATCAACAACACTTCGTGATTTGCTCCCGTGTGTCAAAGCGATTTTGATAGCCCACGCACCGTTTCACAAAACTACTCAAGTAAGTGTGCGCGTTTTATCCGAAATGCTGTGTTAAATGTTTAAAAGTTTCGCGTACAAAAATGAGCAAGCCACTGTTATAAGTTTCAACCTTGTGAGCTCTCATGCCGTTATTTACTCTCGAGTGCGAACTTGCAGAACTCCTGAAGTGAAAGTGGAAAGCATGGAGCAGAGAGGGAGCAAGAGAGGCGCCTTCTTGCACAGTGTACAGCTCTCCGCAAGGAGCCGGTGAGTCAGAGATTAATAAAAGTAATAATTAATGCTTTTTTACCCAGGAAAGTGTTACTGAGTCTCAAATCTGTTTTCGGATGGCCTTGCCAATTTGCACTGTAGAGCGACGGTTGCTATCTGCTTTCCAATTAAATAAACTCTTGGCTAATCTTTTTTAAATTTGGTAAATTTGCACCGTCAGGCTGGCTCGCAATGTTCTCTTCTTTCAGTGATTTTACAGAATCTTGAAAGTTCACTGTGAAGCAGACAGCGTATATTTTTTTATCTTACCAAGTAAGGCCCACTGAGCTACATGGCTCTTTTTCAGAAGCGAATGGCCATAAATGATAGCTCAATTAAGTGGCTTATCCATAATAGAGTTTTTTGGGGGATTAAGGGCCATCCATTTAGTAGGTACGGAAAATATGTAAAAACTTGACCCTTCCCTGTACGCACGCGGCCTTTTTACTCCTCCCACCTGAGTACGTTCGCTTGACGCACCCCCTCCCCCCCCCCCCGGAATCCTATAGAGCGGCCGATATGTAATCCACGCAGAAACGATCAAGGATTAATAATATTAACGTGTTTAAGCAAACAGTCCACCGCCGGACTATCTGACTCATTTGAAGGCAAATGTAGACAAATTATTATCGAGGCTTCACCCCCCCCCCACCGTTCCCTATGCGTACAAACATTGTCAGTAGACCCCCCCCCCCCCCCCCCCCATATGCAAGCGTACGTGTTTGGGTTAACCTCCCCCCTCCATGCGTACGTACTAAATGGATGGCCCCTGAGATCGCGTAAATGTATAAATGCGTCATTAAACCTGCCACCACCCGACACAGCCAACCAATAAGGGTTGTGACGTAAACAGAACGTGGCAATTCGTCACTCGTACATTTTAGTGTTAAACTAAAGTGGCTTATGTTAGAATTCCATAGCATAAGGCATGTTTCTAAATATGTAGGGAAAACCCGAAGGACCCGAGAAAAACCTACGCGACCAAGGGGAGAACATGCAAACTCCAAATATACAGGCACACGACCTCCTGTATACTAAGCGAGGTAGTTAACATCTCGCCACCACGGCGAGGGCAGCTTGCCGTATTCAAACTGCGAACGTCTGCAATAAGCAGTGGACGTACTTCCAATGGGCCAGGCCATGTCAGCAGGCCACAAATGCTGACAAAAGTTACATTCGGATATCTGTGTTGAAATGGATTCACAACACTGGGCTTTATGCATAGCATCCAGCTCACACATGGAGATGTTTCCGATTGGAAACAGTGATGTGTGTGTGCATGTGTGTTGGATGCATTAACTTTAAAATCACTCGAAACGACAGGTGGCCAGGTGGCTGAGAGCACTGAACTGGCACCTTTGAGATTTGAATTTGAAACTGGCAATCACCATTCGTGTTTAAAGAGTAGGCTATCAAGTGTAGTGACTTGGTAATCTCGTCCCGATCACCAATGACTGCAAACACAATGTAACATTGAATTCGGTTGTTCATGTTATTTATCAAGGTTCTAACTCTGGATTAAAACAGTTTGCCGTACAGTATAAACCTTTCTCTGCAGCAGAGTTTGTGGAAAAGTCTGCCCCTTGTGTGTGGATAAAGTAAGTTACTTGAAGCGATCTCAGGGGTAGTTCTGTATTTTCTTCTTCCGTGGGCTGTTTTTTAACATGGGGTGATGCAATGCTCTGGAAACATTAATTGAACGCTTGCTCTTATGTTAAAACAAATATGGCACAATTCTAATAAAATTGGGAAAGAGACAAGAAAAAAACACACGAGCAATTAGGCAGCACTCATCCATTTAGATTTAATTGAACCAGTCATAGAAATTCCACATTCCTATGACAGTTGCCAGTCACACTTAACAAAGTCTCACTTAACAAAGATGACTGTTGACTTCCCCAAAGTGGAACTTACTTTTTGCTAGATGAATGAGTTTGCCCCAACTGGGAGTAGCTTAAAAAAACACAAAGATATACAAAACCGTATAATGTAAAAACACATCTGTGGCATAAATCCCAGATTATGCTGAGGCGGCACCAGCAAAGATGTGAATACAGAGAGGTCCTGCAGCCTGAGTTTTTTAGGCCTGCATCTGTGCATGTCTTTATGGGGAGCGGTAGTGCAGCAGTTGGTGCTGCGCTACAAATTCATAATCCGAGTTTGATTCCCGCTCACGGCCAACACCAGTGACGATGATCAGAACTAGTCCTGGGCCTCCTCTCGGTCGACTCAGTCTTAAATCAGGGGAGACAAAGGCGGCTGGGCGTGGTGCTGGCCACTTAACCCCCTCGTGTGCCTTCATAGCTGCTCACTAACAGCACTTGCCCCAATAGCACGTTAAGGCTATACGGGGGGTTTTTGTTTTCGTGTGCGCTCATGAAATTCAAAGACAGGTCATTGACTATATTTCACGTGACGGCTGAGACTTTACGCGATTGCTGCACAACACAAAATTATGTTGCAACTTGTGACTTGGTGCTTATGTGGACCGCGGCTGTGAGAGCAGAGAATGGAGCGATTGATGCCTTTCACAAAGAGGGTGCTGTGCGGCTTTGGTCACCAATATCTGGGCAATTTACACTTCGTGCGCCGTTTATTTGTAAACACCATAGCAGTTGTAGTTGCCTCTTTAAGTACCATGAATAATTTAACAAGTAAACTGTTACTTGTATTTAAGCACATGTAGCAGGAAAAAAAACACAAGTCGGTCCATTTCCAGCATGTGCTGATTTTAATGTCGCAATGTTCGCACAAGCAACAGAACCTGACTTTGTAATATCGGTTCTCGATACGGTCGCATGAATAAGAAAGCGATCTCTAAAGCATATCGAGGTCCCCCCCTCCCCCCAGCCCCACCCAACCGCATTGCTGAGCTGCATTGGCTTACGGTTGCTGAGCGAATACGTTTTGAGGTCATACTCGTGACACACAAAGTGCTTGACAGAAATGAACCACGATACCTTGCTAATCTCGTCAAGGAGCATAAACCATCACGCGAATTCCGCTCACCCTCGCAGCAGCTTTTGGCTGGCAATTGAACAGAGATGTTCACTGTATCGCGCGCTTTCAGATGTGCTTCTGCAGCCGTCTGGAACGCTCTTCCTTCCGATATTAAGAAGCCACTGGAGCTATGCACTTTTAAATCTAAATTTAAAACTAATTTATTTTTAATTGCTTTTTGTGTTGAGTTTGTTGTCTTTCCCCCACACCTCCGAATACCACGGTTGGCTACATATGGTGTGAAAGAAGTTCAACATACATACATTGACCACCGTGGTGAAGTATGGTCAATTAACTCCCCATAAACCACGTTCCCGCAAGAAACGAGATGTGCTCTTTGTCCTGCGTCTCCTTTTTTGCTCTTAAGCGGTGTGGGTTTGCCATGAAGAATGACCATTGGCTACAACATCGCCTGTTATACAGAATATTTTAACTTTTAAGGCAGCGTTATTGTCGAATCTGTGGAGTTTTTTGTTACCCATGCTATGAGAAGGCCGTCAATCAGCGGTGGATTAAAAAAGGGTTGGAATTTATAAGAATTAGGGTTTTCCCCTTTTTTCGGGCAACAAAACTGAAACCTTTTTACAAGAAATCATGTGTGCATTAACCACAATACTTGTGGTCAAAATGCAAACAAAAAACACTGATAATATATGCATTGTCCT